AGCTTTGAAGTAGATCTTATCATCTGATCTCCCACGACGTGTATGACATTCATATTGCACAGCTGGTCTGCTCTGCCGACAGTTTTCGGAGCGGATAATTCTGTCTTGCACTGTAACAGCTCGGGTTCGAATCCGGTGCTGCGTAGATTTTTTTATTATATACTAATTGTTTTAAGGAGTGAATTCACCCAGCTGTGTTCAGTGTAACCAGCTGAGGAGACGGGCAACCAGCAGTTGACCTTCATCAGTAGGATGGTGTTTTGATACGATAAGTGTTCTTAATGCAGCATGCACGACTTATGTCTATGCGGTCAGGTACATGTACTTTTCGGCTGCAGTTAGTTTTTACCAACCTAATCACTACTTAAATCAGCAGAAGATGTAGCCCGTTAATTTAAAAATTATTTCTCCTGATTACATGATCACCAGCGTGAAATAAAAATTGATTTTTATTCAGTAGAGCAACCAATTTACCAGATGATCAAACGAAACCTGTTAATCATGAGGTTAGAAGAAATGACCGTCTCTAGATAAGCCGTGCTCATTCACGACTTAGTGCGCGATTTCGAACAGAATACGATCCTTTCGAACGATAATTGAATATTTTGCCGTCACGTTGACCTAATGAGCTTAAGCCCTGCACTCCGTGACATACATGGTTGTATGAGTTACATGAGACGGGTGGATATTAGCTTTAGCCATCGGCTTTGTTCGGTGCTTTTGATAATTGATCAACAAATTAGCTACAGTTACAACAATGATTCGGAATCGAAATGATTAAATCTTATTTATTAGATGCATATGTCGCTTCTTCTTCTTCGCTGCTGGAAATGCATTCTTCATGATTCAGTCATAGTTGCAACTCTCGTTAATAGGAAGTTGACTGGATCACAACATGTGTACTTAATTTGTCGTCATCTGTGGTTTTAGATTGCTTGATTCCATGTTTGGCAGCACGATTTCGAAAGATCGGGAAAATTTTGATTTGTGTGCCAACGTTTTGACCAAACCAATATCTATCGTTTCAGGATGCTGCCTGCAAAGAGCAGTATCCTTATGATCACCGGCGTTTCCATAAATAGCTTTCTTACTGTCCTCAAGCCTGCACAGCAGCTGTTCGAGTCACGAACGATAGTAATTTTACCGGTTATTGCATGCAGTGTCTATTATCCACCCAATATGGCGATACGGTTTTGCATCATTTTATCGCAGATGCTAAAATATGATAGACTCGTTTTGTGCGTAGATGGTAACCTATACATTTGTAGGATAGCAGTTGTGTAGTAATGCTTTGTAAACCCTAAGAAATGATCCTTATTCGTTATTCTCACCAGCTAAGCGAACTTCTGTTAAGCCTAAATTTCTATTAGTTAATATGGTTATAATAAGTTTAGTATATTATGATGATTTTCAAGCCGTAAGTGACGGCAAATAATAGCCTGCTATTTGTATCACTGTTTAAAAGCGACAGGATCCTAAAACCTCTGAGGTTGATCGTAGAATTGATCCAGGATAATGTTATGAAAATCTGTCAGAAAAATTAAACCGAACTTGTTATTGAAAGTGTCACATATTATTAACTACCATATCGCCGTAATCTTGAACGACGTTAATTGCGGTTCTGCATAAAGTAGAGGAATTCCGCTAGATTTTTATGCCTATAGTTTTTTCTCGAAAATTGGAATCATCGATATAATATCATTCACGACTGTGATCCTCTTCTACCTTGCTGCAGCCAGAGCGTTTCGCTCTATTGGCCATAAATGGCTGCCAATAATACATTTTAAGCGACTGAATGATGCCTAACAACGCTGGCTACAGTTCGTGCTGGTGATAGGATGATACGATCATATCAGACGTGGTCACTTTCTCGAGCGAGCTAACGTAACAGGTATATCGATTGTGTGTTTACACAGATGTTTGACATGCTTGGACCAATTATTGTGAGCCAATCAGATTGTACTGGCACATCGGCTGCTATCGCAGTAATCCAAATAAAGGCTCGACGGTCACCACCTGATATAGATAAACAAACTAAACGGAAATCGATGAGGAATCTTTATGAAGTGTTACACATGTCCTAATATCGAAAGGAGAGACATGTTGGCTAACATAGCGAACTGTAAGCAGTCTCTAGTTGGCCACGAGACTAAGGGCTATAGCAGAAAAATAGATTGAAAGAGTGAAGCAAGTTTTGAGCAAACCTTGCCCCAGCAGTAGAAGAACAGAGGAACCGACAAGGGTATTTTTATAATGAAGTCACCTCGAAACGAGAAATACTATATGTGAGAGCTGAACAAATGTGTGTTTACTGATAGGACTTCACTTTATTCGCTGACGATGGTTAGGAATATGAATTTTGTGAAACATCTCAGGTTTTGGAAAGGAAGGCAATTTTTTAAGTTCTCTGTTTTCTCTTTCTTTAGTATTCCATGACCTTAGCAAATTTCGCCACTTCATTCATTTTCTATGTATCAATGATGTACCTGACACTTTTCTAACAAAAATATTTCGTTTGTCGTTTTCCTGTATATGGGTCGTTTCATGAAGTTCCGCTAAGGTCAGAATGAAATGATTTTAAGTTAAGAAGGGAATTTTTCTGAGGACTTCTTTTCGTTGTAGCAAAACACTGTTGTTCAATGGATTTCTGATTTTTAACTGATCTTCACTGGTATCGCAGTGAATAAATACTTCACCGCACTTTATGATTTGAGATCTTCCGGAAGATCCTACTGCATCGTAGTAAATCTTTCTCTTTTTTGACCTGTAAGTCATATAAAATTTGTTTGCGCATAAATTTTAGGATAATTTACGTCCAGTTATTTCTGGAGTTCATATCAGTCTTATCAAAAATATCTTTATCCCTTTTCAGGAGACAGATTACGTGATACTTAACTGCAAGGATTTATTGTCACAATTAACCTAAATTAACTCTGTATACTTCACGTTTTAGCCGGTATTTTTGACTCGTGAAGAAAGAGAAGCAGAGGCACTGAAGAAGCGGGCTGAAGAAATTGCTAAGCTGCGTAAGCAGCAGGAGGAGGAACGTAAAAGTCGTCTACATTTTGTCGATGAAGCACGGTTGGCCTTGGGTAACTCTATGCAATTTTTGCAAGGTCCCGACTTTCCATGGTGACCATTTGTGCTTATTTAGAAAGCGACCGCGAAAGAGAACGGCGCGAACGAAGGGAGCGAAGGGAACAGCAAATGGCTGTAAAGGATCCAAATAAAAAAGAGAAGGTCGACAAAGAAGTTGAAAAGCAACAGAAGGTGGAGAAAGACCGAGAGAAAGAAGTGGTTGCAATTAAGGTATATGATGTTTTTGCTTGTTTTTTAGTTGTAAATTTATTCATAATTAAAGGATGGTCATTAGAATTTGAGAAGTTTGATTATGGGAAACTACATCTGCAGGTAAAATAAAGCAAACGATTTATTAAGTATGACATTGTATCATAATGATAAAACTCTGAAAGAAATTTTTGCCTATATCTCATGTAACATCTGTATGGCTGAGTATATGCGGCTGTGGCTGTTCCTGTAGTTGGTGGTTGTTTAGCATAGTTGCCGCTAAAATTGTTGGTGAGGCAGGTAAGTTGGCAGTCTGTCTGGATTGGTTTACTTTAAAGATTTTCGAAATCAGTAAAATGTAACGCCGAATCAAACGTCGGACGGTAGCCCTAAGCAATGCCCATTGCTGTTTCAAATAACCCGTCAAATAAGTTTACGCCAACTTGTTCATTAATAGCGAAATCGTCATAACTGTTCTGTTTTTCGAGATTACTTGCACGTAATTTTAAGGTATTACAACTGTAGAGCACAAACTTCAGGTAGCTCATTTCTCAAGTTCTTGTATGCCCATATTTTCACACCATGCTTTTACATTGTTAGGAAGTCGTCGACGTGCTACTGATTTCTCAGCTGACTGTTTTGAAGCACGGTGGGATGAATCTCTTTCTTAAAGAAGTGAATAATTAATTTCCAAATTTTACATTGCCTCCACCATCTTTTAGCCTGCACTTAGCACTGGTATGTGGGGCCGCGAATTTGAACCGCCCCCTCCCTCGCCATTGCGTAGAATTTGTATATCAATTAAATAATACTGTCAGTAATATCACACATACCTCATGAAAGGAACTCTCACCATTGTTGTAATCGGCCGTCTGACTGCCGGATCTTAGTTTTTAGTGTTTACCCTAAAATCAAATTTTCATAGCAGTCGGTCACGTCGGTTATCATTAGATCGTTGCACCAACGAACGGTGACCTCTGGTTAAGCCACTGATCACTTGGTCCACGCTCAGTTATTAGGTTGTCTCATCGATGTTTTCATGCTCTACCTCTAGGTAACTACACCGAAACTTAATTGTGAGACAGTTTGGCAGGTGCATGTGTTAATAGCCTCACCACGTTTTCAAACTGTTTCGCGACTCTCTAATCCCATGAAACCTTGAAGGTGTCCTATAAATGACTGTGTTCAGTTTACGATAGTCCTGTCTATATTAATTTATTTGTTTTCATTGAATGGCTCTTGCTACATCTACTACTTGGTAAATATTATGCTAAAAACAGAATTTACTTAAATTCTGTTTAATCAAAGGCCTTCTGTTTATTATTAATTTTCATTTCATTATTCATTTTTTTTCATCTTCAGTTATTATCCATTCAGTTTTTCGTTGTGGCAGGAAACACTGTCGCCGTTAGTCTGTCACTGGATAAACACTTGCGACATTAATGATTTTGATATCCTCAAAAGGCCAGCGGATTTTTTACAGTAGAGTAGCCCATATTTAGAATCATAGGGCTGCACTTCGCCTTGACCCACCATTTGATAGCCGACTGTCAAGCGCCATATTCAACACAAGGTGAAAATGCAGGAATTGTATTTATATTAATACGTTAGGCAAAGTTCGTTATTGCTGCAAAGGTTATATTTTTCGTGGCATGCAAATCTATCCCTGTTATAATCCACTCATTACGAATTATTATTTCTAGGAGCGTTATTTGGGCCAAATTAATCGAAAAAAGAAGCGCGGTCGTCGACTGCATGAGCGCAAGTTTATATTCGACTGGGATGCTTCTGAGGACACTTCAACCGACTATAATCCATTGTACAAACAACGTCATGAGGTCCAGTTCTTCGGGAGGGGCCACATTGCCGGTATCGACCTGAAGTCCCAGAAGAAGAATCAGTCGCAGTTTTATGGCAATTTGTTGGAACGAAGAAGAACCGATGCCGAAAAGCAACAAGAAGCGTGAGTATTCACGGTGTTAAATGCACGTGTGACTGTCCTGAATTTACACCGCATATTCGTACTATCCCTTGTCCTTAGAGTCTATGTTACTAATCACAAAGATAACTAGTATATTAACTGGTTTTTAGTCTAACAGACTTTTGAACATTTTGTTACTGTCTTTTTAGACATTCAGTACTCACCACGCATTCAGAAAGTTATA